GTGGGATCCAGCACCTTAACCACCAAGCCACCAGATGGCTTCCAAGTTACAAATTTTTTATTTTTATTTTTTGCTGAAGGGCTTGTGCACTTTCCAGAGAGAAAAAGTGGAAAAGCACACTCCCCACCGCAACGGGCCACAATCCCTCCTCCTTTGTGTTTCTCTTTCAGGATTTGGGCATGCATGCACAGCAGTGTTTGAAACCACTGGGTCTGGAACTGTGCAGTCAGCCACGTGGGATCCATCTATCTTGTTACTGGCTGCCCCGCCCATTTACTATTTATATTTCTCTGAATTTCTTTGTGTAGATTCAGAGTTAGCATCTTACTACAGTTTCCTCCCACCTGCCTCCCTTGTGCTGTGATTTCCAAATAAATCACATTTCTCTACATTTTATTGTTCAATACAGTATACATTGGCTCATATAATGAGCTTTAAAATCACCTACAAGAAGAAATACATTGTTTTTGTGATAATTACATAGTTATCTTTACCATGTACCTATTTTTTCATGTGGATTTGAATTACTGAGTGAGGTAACTTGCTTTGAGTCTAAAAAACTTCATTACAGGAATACCTCAAAGGTAATGTGGATTTGGTTCTAGATCACTGCAATAAAATGCATGCTGCAATAAAATGGGTCACGCAAAATTTTCAGTTCCCCAGTGCACATAAAGGTTATGTTTAGGGACCAGCAGTTAGCATAATGGCTATGTCGCTGGACTCCCATGTAGTCGACTGCAGTTTGCATCCCAGACCGGGTGGCTTAAACTCACGCCGGGCGCGTGTGCGTGCTTGCCCAAGATCCCAAGGGGAGAACGGAGGAGAAGGGATTGCACTGCAGCATGGTCATTCCCCCCTGGGGGGGTGATTTCTCACTTTCTATTTCTCTATCTCTCTCTGTCTTTCTGGCAAGCACACGCACCGTATAGCAAAAACCTCTCCAGAAAAAAAAAAGAAAGAAAAAAGAAAAAAAGAAAGACAGTTTCAGCTTTAAAAAAATCAAAATTCAAAATCAGGGACCAGCAGTTAGCGTAATGGCTATGTCACTGGACTCACATGTAGTTGACCACAGTTGGAGTCCCGGACCTGGCGGCTAAAACTCATGCTTGGCACGTGTGTGTGCATGCCCAAGATCCCGAGAGGAGAATGGAGCAGAAGGGATTGCGGCATGGCCATCTCCCCTGGGGGGTGATTTCTCGCTTTCTGTCTCTCTATCTCTCTCTCTTCTTTTTTGTCGAGAGCGCGTGCCCTATAGCAAAAACCTCTCCAAAAAAAAAAAAAACCTAAAAAGAAAAAAAGAAAAAAAAAATCAAAAGAAAAAATATGAATAGAACTTTGCTTAAGACTTAAAGCCAGGAAACATGTTAGGATTTTGTTCAGATATTAGGTACATGGACCTGTTGATAAATCAAGAGAAGACAAAAATTCTTATCTCTGGACTACAACGCATAGAAAAAGATCAGTATTGTTTTAGTGAAAAGTCATAAAATTCTATTTTACTAGCTCAGCCTCAGTCTCTTAATCTAACTTCTGTTGTGGTCCGATCTTTCCTTTTAGATTCTGGAAGACCATATTCAACTCTGGACTTGTCCCTACCATTAAGGTGGCCCTTTTTTTCGGATGTTTTTGAACTCTTATTTCTGTGTGTCTGACTTTAGTTTTCCTGATATAGCATTCCCTCCAGAACTTGGAGAATTGGTCTGGTGTTTCTTTCAGGTTTTATTTATCTGAGAATGTTTTTTATCTTTTTTTCCCATATGAAGGATAATCTTGCTGGGTATAGTGTTCTTGGTTGAAATTGTTTTTCAATCAACACTTTGAATGTAATTTTCCCATTCTTTCCTTGCTCACATTGTTTCTGATGAGAGGTCTGCTGTTAGCCTGATGGGATATCATTTGCAGGTAACTTGTTTGTCTCTTGCCAGTCTTAGTATTTTGTGTTTGTCTGTGGTTTTGGTCAATCTGGCTATAATAATCTCTTTTTTTCTATTATCTTTTGAGAGTTTTTTTTTGCTATAGGTCATGTGCACTCACCAGAAAGACAGAGAAAGAGAGACAGAAAGTGAGAAATCATCCCCCAGGGGGGATGGTCACTCCACAATTTCTTCTCCTCTTGGGGTCTTGGGCACGCATGCACACATGCCCGGTGTGAGTTTAAGCCACTGGGTCTGGGACTCAAACCATGGTTGACTACATGGGAGTCCAGGGACATAGCCATTACGCCAACTGCTGGTCCCAGTTTATTAACTTATTTCTTCCATGACTGACAGAGAAAGAAAGAAGCAAAGAGACATACTCTGGACAAGTTCTTGATCCATCCCCAGCTTTACCGGGCTGGGTGCACACAGACTCAGGGAGCTCTCCAAAGGCAAACGTGGAACCTTCTTATGTAGGTCAGCCTCACAGAGGATCACATTTTACTGCTGTGCCACCATCTAGCACCCAACTTCTATATCTATATAGAGCAGTCTAATCCAGGTAACTATCATCTATCCCATAGACTTGTATAATGACTTCTTATTTTCTGGCTTCTTATTTCCTCTTCCCTCCAAGTCATTCTCTATGAAATGGGTTAATTTAAAAAAACCCAAAGTGACCAAGAGATGGTGTAGCACTTATGTCTCTGGACTCCCACATAGTTGACCGCCGTTCAAGTCTCAGACACAGTGACTTGAAACTCACGCTAGGCACATTTGTGTATGTGAGCTCAAGATCCTGAGAGAATGGAGGAGAAGGGATTATGGTGTGGCCATCACCCCTGGGGGGGCGGGTGGTGATTTCTTACTTTCTGTCTCTGTATCTCTCCGGTGAGTGCTCCTACCCTATAGCAAAAATTCTCTCTCTTGAAAAAAAAAGAAAAACAAAACCTTAAGCATTTTATTATCTTTCCTTTTCACTTATCACAAAAATCCAAACATGATTATGTTTCTGCCTAGCACTTCAACCTCAATCTCATAACCCCATCTGCCCTGCGCAAGCTTTCTGTTCCTCATACAAGTTCCTCAAACAAGCAGACCTTGTTTAGCATCAGGACCTTCACACCCTTAGTCCTCTGTTCTGAATGCTTTCTCCCCTGGTCGGCATAGCTGGCTCCTTCTCCTGTCAGGTCTTAGCTCAGATCACCTCCTCAGAAAGTATTACTCTGACCACTCTTTTTGTTTTCTTCTCAGTATTTATTACTACCTATAATTATCTTATTTACTTGTTTTGTTGTCTTCTCCGCTAGAAACATAAGCTTTTTAAAAATTTATTTATTTATCTTTTTTTTTTTTTTTTGGAGAGGTTTTTGCTATAGGGCGTGTGTGCTCTCCAGGAACACAAACAGAAAACTAGAAATCACCCCTCAGGGGGGATGGCCACGCCACAATCCCTTCTCCTCCATTCTCTTGGGATTCTGGGCACGCATGCACACATGCCTGGCGTGAGTTTAAGCTACCAGGTCTGGGACTCAAACCGTGGTTGACTACATGAGAGTCCTGCGACATAGCCATTACACCAACAGCTGGTCCTGAAATGTAAGCTTTTAAGTACAGGATCCTCTTCTGTTTTAGTTATTGCTGTATTCCTAGCACTAAAAATAACACATGATCAATGCATTTCTTTGTTCTTTTTTGAGAAAGAGTTTAGCTTTAGAGCACATGTGCTCACAGGAGAGAGAAAGCAAGATGTCATCCTGGGTGGTGGGGGGGATGGCCACTCTACAATCCTTCTCCTCCATTCTCCTCTTGGTATTTTGCGTATGCACCCACATGCGTCCTGGAGTGTTTTAAGCTGCCAGGTCTGGGATTGGAACAGTGGTCAATCACGTGGAAGTCCAGTGCCTTAACCACTATGTCACCTACTGGCCTCACGATCAATATTTTTTAAATGAATTAAAACAGCAGTGGAAAGGCAAAAGTCTTCCTGATGTGTATTTAAGGTGGTCATCCCCGTCCCAACAGAAACAGATCCCTGTGTTCCTATTGCTCTTTTGTCTGTTGGGAGGAGAGAGGTAAAGCAGAAAAATGTTGAGATCTTCCAGGCCCTATCATCCTATGGTCGGCAAAAGTAGCAGACACAATTGTTAGAGAAGAGGTCAAAGCTAAGCAGGTCAGGTCAGGGACAGCTAGTATGCTGAATGCCAAGCCAGTTCTGCTCTGGGGTGAGGAACACTGCCTGCTCTGAGTGGCCCTGGACAAATTCACTTTACTAAAAGGTCCACAGAAAGTAGTAGTAAATTCTATTAACCTGATCCATTTGTTCAGGGCATCTTGGCCTGGAGAGGAGTAGCCATCACAACCTAAGGGCGTGGGCAGGAGTGGTCAGCCAGGCTAGAGTAGCTCATACAGGTGTGCTGGCTGAGTGCAACCCTGTGGTCTGGCTCCTCTGTTCATTATCTTTGCACCCTAGAGTTTTGTTTCCCAAATCTAAGCGATTAACGGTTACGTTTAATCTACGTCCTAAATCTTTCTGTATCATTATTTTCTGTAGTTATGAAGTCCCAAGGACTTTTTGAAATTAATTGTCCCATCATTTCACATCTTTGGTTTCCAAAGTATGGTTTCTCAAACATCAAGCATCCCATGACAAAAGCACAAGTCTTCGTGGTGTGCATATAAACTAGAGAGTCTAGCTTCTCGTCGGTATTTCTAATCCGTTCCTAAATGGTCAATTCAAACTGCAACCATCCACGGTCCCAGAGACGGCTCTTGAGCGTCTACGGAGGCGGACTGCCCTGTTCCATGCTACCACGCAGGGAGCCGTTTCGGACTCAGCAGGACGTCTCGGTCCCGTTTCTGTCGCACACTGGATCGCAAGAGTGGGAAAGTGAGCCGACCTTGGCGATGTCACCGTCTGCTCGCGCGAAGATCCTGGGCTCAGAGCTCTCGTGGGCAGGCGGCAGCAGGGACCCCACCAGCCGGGAAGGGGGCGGGGCGGCGGATTGGTGGGCGGGGCCTAGCGGCCTCCCGGACCACCAATGGCATCCCGAGCCGCGCTGGGCGTGCGCGTGACGCAGCGGAACGGGCCGCGAGGTTGGGGGCGGAGGGGCTGGGATTCGGGCGCTTTATCTGCCTCCGCGGCCGGGCTGGCTGTGTCTCTGGCCCTGGGTCGCGGGGTCCAGAGCTTCCTGGCACCCACCTGCCCTCGGCCGCGCTGTGACGGCTTCCTGGTCCTGCTGGCTCTGCTGAGGTCCCCGCAGCCGGTCTCGAGCCCCAGGTAATGCCTCCGCTCCCGCGCACTCCCCACTTCCCCCCCGG